CATCTTCAAGCAATTCATTGTTAGCTTGATGTTTCCTGGAGGAAGAAGTATGCTTTAAGTCTGGCTTTGCTCGCTTTTAATTTGAACTTTTTGATTTTGTGTGTCTCTAGCTGTCCAGGAAAGCTCGACAGAACAAAAGAATAAAACCGATTCCACTTCCAAAAACTGAGATTAAGTTCAAGAATAAACAACAGTGCCAGGTAGCTGGATGGGGCTTCACAAGTGATGGTAAACCTGTTGATGAGCTGCTAATGGTGAATGTGCCCATCGTTGACCTGGAGGACTGTAAAAGAATATGGGAACGTCAAAAAGTTACTCTTCCTGCCAACGTCACCTGCGCAGGTGGATATGGCACAAAAAATGGATTCTGCAAGGTATGTTTTCTGTCCTGTCATAGGAAGTGGTTTCTGGAATGAATGAATGTACTCTTGGAAAGTCATTGATAAAGCTTCTTACTGCTTACAGGGTGATTCTGGCGGCCCTCTGGTGTGCAACGGGAAGGCAGCTGGAGTTGTGTCTTACAACTATAAATGCGACCGCACAAATATGCCCAATGTGTACACAGATCTCCCGAAATACCTTCCCTGGATCAGAAAGATTCTCAAGAAAAAGAATTGTTAAATGTAACAGATCAACATACTTGCACTGTAGTGGCTCCTTGGATTTAAATATCGTCTTAAAACGTTTCACTTTTACTGAAAAGCTCTATCATGAGTTCACCATTATCTTCACCAATATACAAGTTCAACATGCTTTTAGTGTACTGTACTGGCTGGAATGTTCTTGTTTATAAAATGTGCTATATAAATAAATGTATCTTGCCTTGCCTTTATATGGACCTCTGTTAATAGCTGTTAGCTATTCAGAATACTTTTGGTTTTTCCTACATGTTTCCCAGTCAAACCTACTTAATACTTTCTTATAATGTGCTTGTTGTAACATAAATTGACTTTTTAAAAACGTCCATAAAGTTCATAGAAGGATAGCTCCTATTCATACATCACTACCACCACCTACAAAGTAAATACTTTAGTACAGAAGGCAGACAGATGATGTTAGGAAGATTCATCCGACAGCTCAATTTGTGACTTTACATTAGATTTACAAAGATGGAGGAGGGGCTGCCTCTGATGTTGAAAAAGCAGAGCGTTTTTAAAGGCTTGTTATGACCTCTGGCGCTCTCTGCTGGGTATCATGGAGTACTAACAGATCAATAGATATTTGAGGCTCTGCTTTAATTCTGAGCAATAGCTAGTGTTTTATGCAAATTATTTCATTTGGCAAATAAGTTTCCATTAAGCTGCCGGGGAGTGGAGAGGGGAGGCAACTTTAGTAAGACACAGTACAAAGCAACCATACCCAATATGAGAAGTCCCTTAAAGTCCTGAGTAAAAACCAAGCAGTTGTGGAAGAAATACTCAAATATGTTACTTACAAGGAAGTAGCAATGCCATGTGGTAAAAACACATGCATAAGTCCTGCAATATAGGTAAAACTAATAAAGTATTATCAAAGTATACTTCAATATATAGATAAAGGTAAAAGTATTATGTAGAACGCTCCATTTTATGATGTTGTACATATTATCAATATTTGATTGGAATTATAGTTGCAGTGAACATTACTTTATTTTGCCGATGTTAAAGGTGGGCAAATATTGAAAGCATAGGGTTAGTTTAAAGTAGTACCAGCATCTTATTGATCTCCTATCGCTGCTTGAATGCACGGACTGTGACCGACAACACAAATCCAACTATTGTTAATGGTTTGCATAAGGCCTTTAGCATCCAAAGGCAAAACATGAGTTGCACTTACTTTCATAACTGCTACTATTTGAACATCAATACCCAAATCTGCAGCTGGAAACTGTGGTTTCTGAGGTTCTTTTAGATTGCAACACTAATCAAGAAATGTCTGGGTTGTGGGTTGTATGAGATAAAACACACGAAAACTTTTCTGATCTTTTTAACATTTTAGAGTCAAGTTCATTTGATGTCGCCACATCATAGTGTGCACCAAAGGAGAGCAATGTAAAAAAGAATACAAATACACTGGATGAACATTTTAAATGCAAAATGAACATGACTGGTGGGTAAAATAGATTCATGCTCAATACGTCAGTGTTTATAATGCCCGTGGCAGATTCTAGCAATGAATTAAATCTATTTACATTGGAAAAAGCCATTGAACGACTTTGCTCTTCTCTGCATGCTTTCAGTCTTTGAAGCCTTTCATAAAACAAGTTATGTCGAATTATTGCAAACAAATTACTCTTCAGAAGAGTAATACCTCCTCTTAACATATTCATTTAATAATACACTTGAGTCAAACACTTAAAATTAAGCCGCAGTGTTCTTTTAGACCAGCTGTCAGTCAGCGTTGACACGACTTACCAGAATTCGTTTCACACCTGTGATCGTGATCACACTGACACTCAGACATGGAGATGGAAACCGCGGTTTCTGCTACTCATTTCGTTTTTGGTGTGACATGCCAGTAATATATGGTCCCAGCTAAAAAGTAAATCAATACTAAAGAACTTTTTTACTTCATTCATCCAACCAAATGTCACTAAATCCTACAGGGCTAAGTGTTATAAATCCAGTGATGAAAAAACATCAACAAAGATATTTTAACTGCCATTGATTCAAAATGGTAAAAACATTAATTGACATCAAATGTTGAAGAGAAGTAATAGATTATTGTTAAGCACTGTGTGAAAACTCAGCCATGCTGTTCACATAATGCATGTGCTTCAGGCTGTGGAGGCCGCAGAACCACAGGCCTTATATCTACTGAAATAACGGCAACACTTCATGAGGTGTCATTTCTTTACTACCACATGCACTCATCACTTTAACACATTTAAAGTTTGCACAGGGTCGCTGACTGAGGGAACTGGTGTAAAAAAGGTCGACACGACACCCAAAGACAACAGGTTCAGTTTGCTGCAAGCATGAAGCACGCTCTGCACAGGATTCTGCTTCTTCAACTTCTGACAACTCTTGGACTTCATGGTAAGATTCCCACATGTGGTTATTTGTCTCTTTTCTACAAATGCAGTATTAACTCATCCTTCTTTTCAGCTCTTGGTAGTGAAATCATAAATGGTAAAAAGGTCCCGGACAACAAAATGCTGTTTATGGCCTCGGTTCAGAACAGCAGAAACAAACATATCTGTGGAGGATTCCTCATCAAGAAAGACTTTGTGGTCACTGCTGCACATTGTGATGATGGGTGAGTTACCTTTGCTCTTTCAATACTCAATTATTAATGTTATTGGACCAATCCAAAGAACCTTATTTTTGCATAACATGCAGAGGCTATTAATAAACACTACTGATTGCCTCCTGATGATCATTTGCTTAGGATTCCTACAAGTGTTGTTCTTGGTACTCACAATCTGAAGAAGATTGATGACACAATGAGATACAGCGTGAAGAGATGCAAGCATCCATCTTATGAGACAGTTGATAAGGGGTCGGACATCATGCTCCTCAAAGTAAGTAGAGTTCCAGTAATTTGATGTTCTGTTAAATTCACTTTTAGTCTCAACAAAACCGTTAAAACAACAAAGCATTTACATCAATACTATGAGCAGCTGAACACTCTCCCCCCCTCCCCTCTCTCTCACCTCTCCACCCTGCCCCCACTGGACCGGGACATTAACACCCCCCCCACACACACACAAAATCCAGCATCAGTCACTTTTACGCTGCTATGGACATTTTTGCACTATGTACATCATATTTTTTATATATATTCTGCTTACTTGAAGTAAACGGTTATTTTGTCATTATTGAGTGTTCTTGTATTTTAATGTGTGTGTTTTTATACCTCGGGACTGTGGGAAACAGTATTTCGATCATTCTGTGTGTACAAACATATTTTGAGATTGACAATAAAGTTGACTTTGAGCTTAATTTTCAAGCAAGCTTGAGGTCTGATATGGGGATAAGAAGTATCCTCTATCAGACCTCAGTATTTTCTAGCTTTTTTCACACATTTTCACTTGTGATTTTGTTTCTCCAGCTGTCCAAGAAAGCTCGACTGAACAAAAGATTGCAACCAATTTCACTTCCAAAGACTAAGACTAAGATTAAAAAAAAAAATCCGTGCAGTGTAGCTGGATGGGGCCTAACAAGTGTTGGTAAACCTGTTGAGCTGCAAATGGTGAATGTGCCCATTGTTGACCTGGATGTCTGTAAGAACAAATGGCCTAACATGCTTCCTGAAAACGTTATCTGTGCTGGTGGATATGGCACTGATAAAGGATTCTGTCAGGTATGCTTCCTTTCCTGTCATAGGGGTATGGTCTCATTATAAAAAGGTTATTAGAAAGAAAATGAACTAATATAGCTTCTTCCTCCTCACAGGGTGATTCTGGGGGACCTCTGGTGTGCAACGGGAAGGCAGCTGGTGTTGTGTCTTACAACTGGAAAAAGGACTGTGGATACCCAAATAGGCCCAATGTGTACACAGATGTATCAAAATACCTTCCCTGGATCAAAAAGATGATGAAGGATTTTAAGGATTGTTCAATGTAACGCAACGGTCCCTGATCAGCCTGTCGGATGTTCTTCTACCCATAATGACCGCCTCGCTGCACATTATCCCTTACATGTGCATCTACATATGTTGCATCTGTTGTTCACCTTTTTCAAACACAAAGGGTCATGTATTCTCCTTAAAGTAAAGCCAGTTTCTTATCACATGTAGCCAACCGTGTTGTATGTGTTAACGTCAATCACTTAAACCTTTTTGAATTTCGTTTGTAGAATTTATAAATATGGCGCAGCTTTTAGTCTTATAATTGGGTAATGTTGCACAAAGAAACTTCAAATCCACTTAAGCTGGTTTGTCATCCAAGATGAGTTAACATGTTCACACCTGACCCTATGAAACAGGTTGAAGTGTGTGTACCCCTCAACCAGTTGCAATGGTTTCAGATCTGATGCTCAAAGGACTTGATGTACTAAAAGTCTGCAAGTTTAAAAAAATTATGATTTTGTTATTTCTTCAAAACTGCTTTTATCAATTTGAAATGTTTCTACCTGCGGTGTTATTAAAAATATGCATTAATGCGTTTGTTTCCCTTGTCGCAGAGTTAATAATTAACAATGTTTTAACTTTGTAGAATGCCACTATTTTGGCTGTCAAACTAGTTTACTGTAATTATTGGACAGTAACATAATATTAACTACAGGGTACAGATAAATAATTACTACAAACACACAAGCATGACCGATGACACACACATTTGTTTGCCTTGGACTCAGAAGCACTGCAGAGGATGGATATAACAAAAACTGATTGGAGTGGCGCCCACTAAAGGTCAAAAAGCAGAGAAACAGCTCTGTGGTCCGACACAGGCCTTCTCTACTGAGTATATACAGTAGAATGATGTTATAATGAGAGCAGCAGCTTGCAATATGTTTATCAAATATTACATGTGTTGGTAGTGTATCTGAATATGGATTTGTGGTGAGAAAAACAGTGAATAATGTAGTCAGATGTGTTTAATGAATAATGTAATAATCAGTCGAATCCTTTCATCAAAGTTCTTTCAAAACAAAATGTGAGTTTATAATATATAATGTTACATGAGAAACAAGCTAATTAATGGCCTAACTAGATCTGTGTTTGTTCTCCCCTGCATCGAGGCCTACTAACTAAATCATTGCTGCATAACCGTGAGAACATAAATGTTCAAACCTGTATCTGGAAACCAGCGACGTGCAGTCAGTGGAGGCAGGGGAGGCAGAGCCTCACCTGTCATACTCCAATGTAACGGAAAAACAACTAAAGAAAAACGAAATAGTAATAATAATAAAATGACTCCACTGATCTGTGTTGTAAGTGTGATTTATGTATGATTCTAATCGCTTTTTATAGTCAAAATCAGCAAATTTGCCGAGCTCCGCTACGGGAGCGATGACAAGTGAGGCAAGGACGTGCTCTGCCTCTCGTAAGCCCACAGTAACTTGCTGGAGCACGGGCACTAATGTAGCGCGGGCACTTATTTTGTGAGCGCGCTCAAGCCAGTTACTGTGGGGTAAGTGAGGCACAGATGAGATCTGTCTCACCTCAGAATGCGTCACCCCACAGAAACTGTCTGGAAAGCGGGCCCTAAGTGCATGCCTGTTACCATCTCACTGTAGGTCACCAATGTAATGTATGTAGATCCCTTTATTACATTTATCCTCGCCATCCATAGTCTCTAAATAACTTATTTCACGTATATATGATATTTAGGCTCGCTGGTCTCAACGGCAATGAAAATGCACCAGGGGAGGCAGCCATAACCTCTGCCGCACTGAAGGGGGCGCACGTGAGCCCACAGGTTCTTGTTGCTACTGTTATTCTACGCAGAGACGGTAGACGTAACAACAAACTAGACTTTTGAAACTACAGGAAGATAAGGAGGACTTTTACAAAAAAGTAATAGAGATTGTTGTCCAGAAGGATAGCATGGACTTCATCTTCAAGTCAAGGTAAGACCACATTTCTAATGAAAATGGGATCTTACTAAGAAAGAACAATCCAATATTTAGATTTTGGGTATCCTTTTGTTGAACGGTCTGTTTAAAATGAATCGAAGCATCAGACTAAAAAAGCTTTTGAAAATAACCGAATATTTCGATTAAGGTCAAAATATAATATTTGTAAATCTCACCAGCGCCTCACCAGCCATGAACCTCACCGCACGTCACTGCTGGAAACTGGTTTCTGTGGTTTCTTAGTTTGTTGTCGATTTCAAAGAAAGGTTTCAGTGGCATGTGTCGAGAATGTCCACCTCAAACAATAACGGTGTTGGTGGTCTTTACTCGTTAGATCAATGCAACTAAAGCTCACTTACTGTTACCAAGTCTTATCCACAAAAAGGGGGACAAAAACAAAGGCCTACCAGTACAGGAGAGCATGTCCAGGAAACCCGCAGTCGGAGGAGAATATTGGGAAGGCTCTAAAACCAGTACCAATATCATGTAGAAAGCCGACACTCATACTGCAAGACAGAAGCACACAGGAGCTAAAACTGAGAAAAAGCATGAAATACAAATAAAACATCTCCCCACTGTACCAAACCACCTGTAAGACTGTGACAGCCCAAATAGTCCTGTTAGTGGCAAACAGTGGGCCTAACCAACACTTGATATAAGAGGTCTGTCTTTACTGTAGCTTTAAAGAAAATGACATGAAGAAAAGTAAAACAGCAATAACATGTCACAGGTAGGCAAGCAGGTAAAGATAACAAAAAACGGGAGCTTAAAAAAACAAAAACAAGAAAGAGTAAACTAAACTTAGAACAAACAGGGAGAACATCAACGGGGTAGAAGAGGATTAAAGTAGTGACGAGCACTGTGGCGAACCACACCAGGGAACATTAACAACTCACTGAAGGAGAACAGTTGGAAACAGACAGGTATAGATGCACTCAGAACTAATCACCACAACAAGACACAGCTGCTGTATGCAGGCTGAAACACAGGAGCAGCAGGGTGATCACACACAGGTGGATCCAATCAGGACGAGGCCAACAATCACATTAAGTAGGAAACCACATAAACAGGAAGTCAATGAAACAAGGTGAGTGATTTTTAGAAATAAAACAGGAAACAGAAACGCCAAGGTCATGAAATAACCCCAGGATAAAATAACTCCAAATCACAAACACAATGGGTGTTTCTCAATGTCGAGGACGCTTCCTTGGTAGGACATGTCCCTCCGAGTCAGGTCCTTCAGAAGCGAGGCAAGAATCCTTCCTAGCCTCGGAAAACGAAGAATGGTGGAACAGGCTAACAGGTGTGCAGGTGTGCGTCATATGCGAGGCCCCGCCTTAAATGGAGCGCAATTTCCGCCAAAGATTTTGGAAATTGGTCCGTGCGCAAAGCATTGTGGGGATTTTAAGACCGCGGAGGATACACATGTGCAGCCTCGAAATTTCCCGCAACGAAGGACGCCGGCTTCGGTAGAATTCCAAGCATCCTGGACATTGGAACAGTCCTTCGGCGGGACTCGATGACGTAGCATTCTCTGGAGGAGCCTTCCTCGACATTGAGAAACACCCAATAGCTTGGTATCACTAAGAAATAAGGAGAGTTATAGGTGCCAAACAACATAATATTAAAAACGTATATATGCCGAGGGCAGTTGCCGGATATCTAGTTTGTAATGCGGCCTTGAATGAAGTGTTTTTTATTCTTTAGAAAGAGGACATTTACATACATTTTTATCTTTTAATTATTATAATTTACTTTCTTACAAGACATGAAATCCTTAGTTATTAATGTCATTAAGTGACTGGTTGGGCCTTTTAAGAAATGTTCTTATTCTAGTAAAGGCCGAACATTTGCACTGCATATTCATTTTGTTTATTTTTTCCATATCCTTTCAACCATAACTGTTATGCCTGGTTTCCAACCTGCTGTAACATTAGATTAATTCATGTCTGTCTGGAAACATTGAACATTAACTGTGGCTGTGCAGATCATTTAAGTTTTAAAGATATGTGCAGATTTTGATGAATGCAGTCGCATCACTTGGTCATGTCCCCAACATGTTAGCTTTTAATACAGGGTCTTATAATTTAAGATTATATTTATCATAAATGTTATTTGTATAGAGCCAAATGAAAAGGACTCTACTAAATTAACATATACCTAGTACTCGTGTGTCTGTGGATAGATTTTGTCACCTTAAGCAACCGTGTCACATGCAGTCTCAAGACTTTGCGGATATAGTTTGGATTGATATGAAGGAAGCGGCCATTAATAGAATAGAATAGGGATGAAACCCTCTTTAATGGTCACACATGCAGAGCACACAGCACACACAGTGAAATTTGGCCTCTGCTTTTAACCCATCCTAGTACAAGGAGGCTAGTACTAGGAGCAGTGGGCAGCTATTGTACAGCGCCCGGGGAGCAATGGGAGTGGGGGGGGAAGGGGGGTGTCCGGTGCCTTGCTCAAGGGCACCACGGCAGGGCAGGAGGTGAACTGGGACCTCTCCAAGTAGAAGTCCACACTCCATATTTAGGTCTGGTCGGGGACTTGAACCAGCGACCCTACGGCTCCCAGTCCAAGCCCCTACTGACTGAGCCACTGCCGGACCATGACTGAGCCACTGCCGGACAATTTAGATTTTACAATTAGATCATTTTTCTGTGAAATTATGATCAAAGTGATTAAATAGTATTCGTTTCACAACTTTGATGTTCGCTCAGAAGTGAAGCAGGAAACCAGTTTCTGTGGTTCAGCTGGTTTGTTGCAGATTTCACAAGAAATGTTTGAGTGGGCTGCTCCAACAAAAAAAAAACGGCAAAATGGGGACTAATGAAATGTGTGAGACAAACATTGCATGTGGATGTGGTCAGAATTCAAAATAATCTATGTGTTAATCAGAAAAAGTGCTGCATAAAAGGATCGACTTAATGCCCCGAAGAACAAAGGCAAGTCAATTGTCTTGCAGGCATCATGCATGCTCTGCACAAACTCCTGCTTTTTCAGGTCCTGGCATCTCTCGGACAAAATGGTAATACTCCGAACTCTGTTTGTTATGCTCCAATCATTAACTGAAATTAACCTATGACCTTTTACTTATTTCAGCAGGTGGTAGTAGAATCATAAAAGGGGAAATAGCCCCAGATGATACGTACGAGTTTTTAGTCTCCCTGCAAAGCAACGAGAAACATGTGTGCGGAGGATTCCTGATCAGCGAAGACTTTGTGCTCACTGCTGCGCACTGTGACGCAGCGTGAGTATAACTTCCTTTATCCGCTTTCTTTGAATCATTAAATTAGAAAGCTATTTGAAAAGTCTTCAAGATATATTAACCACCTTTGTTTTTAAATATCATCTTCAATATTGAATATTATCTTAGACTCAAGGAACCGGTCAGGGTCGTTGTTGGCACTCACAATCTCCTCAACGTTGGTGATGAAAATGTAAGATACATTGAACAGAGCTACAAACACGAATCCTATACCCATCTAGACGGAGGTTATGACATCATGCTCCTCAAAGTAAGTACACTTTTTTTTTGGATCAAATTAATAATGTAACTTTCAGCTTCATATTCAGCCATTTTTTGCTACATTGAAGTCTGAAGGATAAAAAAGCATTATCTTATATTACAGACATTGCTAGTTTTGTGAGATTTACTTTGAGATTGTGTTCCTCTCCAGATGAAGAAGAAAGTTGCCGGGAACAAAAAACAAATCATTGCCCTTCCTCCTTCTAATATGCACATTCAAGAAAAGAAAACCTGCCATGTAGCTGGATGGGGTAACACAGAGACTAGTGGTGGAGTTGTTGATAGGCTGATGGAGGTGGATGTGTCTGTCATAAACCTGGAGACATGCTCTGAGTCATGGGGTCCTTTGTTTCCTTCCGATGTTATCTGTGCCGGCGGTTATGGCAGCCACAAAGGCTTCTGTCAGGTATGATTTCTCTTTGTTGATGTAAAATGTAAGCTGTTATAAAAATGCTTTAAAAATCTTAAATAAAATAATCAATAATGAATAATATTCCTTGTTCACAGGGTGATTCTGGTGGTCCTCTGGTGTGCTACGGGATAGCTGTTGGTGTTGTGTCTTACAACTACCGCGGAAACTGTACCTACCCAACTAAACCCAACGTCTACACAGAGATCTCCAAATACCTTGGCTGGATCAACAGTATCATCAATTAAAAAGCTTAATATACAATTTCATAAAGCTTTGCTTCAGCACACTTTGAATGTATTTAGGAGGGGAGGCTGTGTCTCAGCTGCTCTGTCAGTGTTCACTCTTTAATGGAAAAGCAAAATAAAGCAAATGTCTCAAATGTTGTTTTCTCTTTTCTTTATCCGAACACATGAGGTTTGAATCTCTTTTAGGAAAATGTTTTACTTCAGCAAAGATTCATTGTAATATTGAGGCTTTGTGGTGTCACAGATTGGTCTATCAAGGTTTATTTAATCAATATACATTCATTTTGTATGTTTAAATAATCATAATAATGAGATCCGGCACTTGGAGAGGTTGAGCATGTGACGTCACCATAGGATTATAAGCATTATTATAAGCAACTTTTAACACTCATAGAACGCACTTCAATAGAATTAACTAATGAAAAAAAATGGCAAACAGTTTCAGAAATCTAACTCAGCTGAAATTGTTTTTCATGCTTGTATTACTAGTCGCTTGGACTACTGCAATTCTCGTGGTCTCCAAAAAAATCTTTAAAGAAATTGCAATTAATTCAGAATGCTGCGGCCAGGATTTGAACAAACACAGAAAAAAGGGATCACATGTTCCCTGTGCTGGCATCACTGCACTGGTTACCGGTGTCTTTCCGAGTTGATTTTAAAATGCTTTTAATTATTTACAAGGCTTTACATAACCCGGGCCCTACACACATCAGGGCCTGCCTTTCTTTTGATAACCCAACAAGGACACTCAGATCCTCCGATGCATTTCTTTTAGAAGTACCTAAAGTAATACACAAGAAATCTGGGGAGGCTGCTTTATGTTTTTCCCATTGGATCTTAGAACAGCAAACTCCATTGGAGTTTTTAAAAGTAAATTGAAGACCTATCTTTTAATTTGGAGTAATTTTAGAGGTATAACTGTTAATGTTGTATTGTTTTATGGTTCTGTGATATAACTTATGTTCCTCCTTCTTTATTTTCTATCTGTAAAGCACCTTAGGCTGCATCTTGCATTATTTAAAGAGTGCTTATCAAGAAACTCAAAGACACTTTACACAGTAAAGCAATAGGGTTATATGCAAATGCATTATCTTGGCATGATAAAAAAAAGGTATCCATTGAGCTGTAGGGGAGAAGAGAGGGGAGGCAATCTTACTTCTCAGTACAAAGAAACCGTACCTAATATGAAGAGCAAAAAAGTTTATCAAAATATACTTCAATATATTACCATAAGTTAAACTGTTCATTATGTAGACGCTCCATTCTAAAATATTGTATATATCATCAATATTTGATTTGAACTATAGATGCAGATACATTGCTTTTTTTATTTATGAGTTTATTCCACTTATGGCGTTTGTTATAAAACAAAACATGTACTCTTTACACAGTTTTTGTAGGCCATGATGGAAAGGAGCAGGGAGAAAACAAATCTAAATGTTTTCAATCAACTTGTTGACGATGGTAAAGGTGGCAAATACATGTTTAAGAACAAACAATAAAAAGGTCAGATGGGACTAGTACTAGTTTGAGGTGCAGAGAATGTCACCAGCAGCAGCAGCAACACCAGACAGTGTCAAGGGTTTGCATGAGGCCTTTAGTATCCAGTCAAAATATGTGTTTATAGCACTGATACATCTGTAGCTGTTAAACAATGATAAAATCATTGAGCTCTAGTTTCATAACTGCTAGTGTGGGAACGTCACTACTCAAATCTTTAGTTGGAAACTGTGGTTTCTGTGGTTCATCTAGATTGAAACGCTATGCAAAGAAATGTCTGGGTTGTAGCAGATAAATCAGCTCACTTTTCTTTTGGCTGACAAAGTTAATTTGACTTAGCCACATAATAGTATGCACAAACAGTGCAGCAATGTCCAAAAAGTATTAATTAATTAAAAGAATCGCGTGATTGAGAATGTCAGATATAAAATGAACATCGGGTAGATTATAGCAGATAATAGCAAAAAAAGACTATAATACATTTTGGTCAGACACTGACTAATGAGCCACAATTCTCTTTTAGATTAGTTGTCAGTCAGCATTGACATGTTTTCACAGAATTATCTTCACACTTGACTGTGATAATACTGACACTCAGACTTTGAGATGGAAACTGTGGTTACAGCAACTTGTTGCATGCATGGTGCAACATCGCAGTAATACAAGACAACAGCCCGAATGTGAAAGCTGAAATGTAGATCCATACCAAACAATTTTGATTATATTTCACATATTTCATCCAACTAAATGTGACTAAAGCTTATTTTGTCACATTAAGGATAAGTATTATCCAAACAGTGACAAGAATATCCCAGAATTTTCAGAAAAAGCACAATACTTGATATTTAAATAGATAAAAAAGGATCACTTCAAGCAAATGACATCAAATGTTGTAGAGAATAAATTGTTGACCATGTGAAAACTCAGCCATGCTGTTCACATAATTCATGTGCTTCAGGCTTTGGAGGCCGCAGAACCACAGGCCTTATATTTACTGAAACATCTGCAACACTTCATGAGGTGTCATTTCTTTATTACCACATGCACTCATCACTTTAACACATTTAAAGTTTGCACAGGGTCGCTGACTGAGGGAACTGGTTTATAAAAAGGGTCGACACGACACCCAAAGACAACAGGTTCAGTTTGCTGCAAGCGCAGAACAGCAGAAAACAAACATATCTGTGGAGGATTCCTCATCAATAAAGGATTCCTCATCAATAAAGACTTTTGTGGTCACTGGTCAGCAAGAAAAAAATGGAAAAAGAAAAATCCCCAACGAGGCGTTCTGGGGCAGCATAGACAAGTCTTTTCTGTGTTAGAGTTTTACTCGCTACATGGTGTACTTTGAGGGTTTGTGACTTTGCAGACGGTTTACATGCATAAAAAGCTACGTAACACACAAGGGGACGGGTAATAACCAGAAAAGCATGACATGGGACCTTAAACAATTATGTTTTAACTTTGTAGAATGCCACACTCTATTTTGGCTGTCGAACTAGTTTACTTTAATTATTGGACTGTAACATAATCTACAGCAGTGGTTCTCAACCTTTTTACACCAAGTAGGCCTACCACCTGAGAAAATAGTTGGCTCTCCAAGTACCACCATATGACCAACGTTAAAATACAGTCTATGCAGTTCATGCAGGACTCGGAGGCAAATGTATTCATAATAACATTATGTATTGTCAGCCACAGCTACATGTACAAAGGGCAGTCTCTCTCTCTCTCACTCATCACTCACTCACCACAAGTGAGAATATAAATAACAAAATAATAACTTATTCTCAGACAACAAATGACAACTGTACATACATGTCATTTCCTATACCAAAGTTTGAATGTAGGCCTCCTGCAACAACCTACATGTAACAGAAAATGTCCTATTAGCGCCCACTAATGGTCAAAAAGCAGAGAAACTCTGCAGCTCTGTGGTCCGACACAGGCCTTCTCTACTGAGTATATGTAGAATGATGTTATGAGAGCAACAGCTTGCATTTATGTTTATCAAATATAGCCTTTTTTGTTACTGTATCTGAATATAGATTTGTGATGAGAACAAAACAGTGAATAATGTAGTCAGATGTGTATAATGAATAACGTAATAATCAGTCGAATCCTTTCATCAAAGTTCTTTCAAAAACAAAATGTGAATTTATAATATATAATGTTACATGAGAAGCAAGGTAATTAATGTTCTGACTAGATCTGTGTTTGTTCTCCCCTGCATCGAGGCCTACTAACTAAATCATTGCTAACCGTGAGAACATAAATGTTCAAACCTGTATCTGGAAACTGGTTTCTGTGGTTTCTAAGTTTGTTGTCGATTTCAAAGAAAGGTTTCAGTGGCATGTGTCGAGAATGTCCACCTCAAACAATAACGGTGTTGGTGGTCTTTACTCGTTAGATCAATGCAACTAAAGCTCACTTACTGTTACCAAGTCTTATCCACAAAGAGGGGGACAAAAACAAAAACAAATTAGGCCTACCAGTACAGGAGAGCATGTCCAGGAAACCCGCAGTCGGAGGAGAATATTGGGAAGGCTCTAAAACCAGTACTAATATCATGTAGAGAGCCGACACTCATACTGCAAGACAGAAGCACACAGGAGCTAAAACTGCTCAAGATAACAAAAAAAGGGAGCTTGAAAAAAACAAAACAAGAAAGAGTAAACTAAACTTAGAACAAACAGGGAGAACATCAACGGGGTAGAAGAGGATTAAAGTAGTGACGAGCACTGTGGCGAACCACACCAGGGAACATTAACAACGCACTGAAGGAGAACAGTTGGAAGGCAAGTTTATTTATACAGCACCTTTCAGCACACGGCAACCCAAAGTGCTTTACAAAATGAAATAAAAGACATTTAAGAACAAATACAGTGGAAGCACATCAACAATCACATAAAGCGGGAAACAACATAAACAGGAAGTCAATGAAACAAGGTGAGTGCTTTTTACAAAATAAAACAGGAAACAGAAATGCCAAGGTCATGAAATAACCCCAGGATAAAATACCTCCAAATCACAAACACAATAGCCAAATACAAAAGGTATCACTAAGAAATAAGGAGAGTTATAGGTGCCAAACAACATAATATTAAAAACGTATATATGCCGAGGGCAGGTGCCGGATATCTAGTTTGTAATGCGGCCTTGAATGAAGTGTTTTTTATTCTTTAGAAAGAGGACATTTACATACATTTTTATCTTTTAATTATTATAATTTACTTTCTTACAAGACATGAAATCCTTAGTTATTAATGTCATTAAGTGACTGGTTGGGCCTTTTAAGAAATCTCCATATTCGAGTAAAGGCCTAACATTTGCACTGCATATTCATTTTGTTTATTTTTTCAATATCCTTCCAACCTGCTGTAACATTAGATTAATTCATGTCTGTCTGGAGACATTGAACATTAACTGTGGCTGTGCAGATCATTTAAGTTTTTAAGGTATGTGCAGATTTTCAGTCACATTACTTGGTCATTGTTACCGCCGAGAGATATTGGACCCCAAAGCAAAAGACTTAGAGAGAGAGATGGTCAAAAACTAAAAGTTTATTTTAAGCAGAGGCACAGTAAACGGCAGTGGAGGCAGGAAGCTGGCTGGCACGGAGACGTCAGGGACAGGAGGCAAAAATCCAGGCGAAGAGATCACAGGGACGAGGAGAGCAGCGAGACACACCGGAGGGTCGAACACAAAGGAATTATCTGGCAGGGAAGTGGCATGAGGACCGGGCTTTTAAATCAACAGGTGAAGAGGTGAGTGGAAACAGGTGTGCCTCGTCTGCTGCTGGGAGGAGCCTGTGAACTCCCTGTCACACACCAGCCCAGCAGAGGAAAACAGGAGGGGGGAGACAGAAGAAAACACAAAAAAAGCACACAACAAAACAGAACCATCACAGTCATATCCCCAACATGTTAGCTTTTAATATAGAACAGGGTCAATTTAAGATTATATTTATCATAAATGTTATTTGTATAGAGCAAATGAAAAGGACTCTACTAAATTAACATATACCTATTAGTACTTGTGTCTCTGTGGATAGATTTTGTCCCCTTAAGCAACCGTGTCACATGCAGTCTCAAGACTTTGCAGATATAGTTTGGATTGATATGAAGGAAGCGGCCATTCACCCCCAATTTAGATTTTACATTTAGACCATTTTTCTGTGAAATTTTGATCAAAGTGATTAAATAGTATTTGTTTCACAACTTTGATGTTAGCTCAGAAGTGAAGCAGGAAACCAGTTTCTGTGGTTCAGCTGGTTTGTTGCAGATTTCACAAGAAATGTTTGAGTGGGCTGCTTTAACAAAACAAAAACGGCAAAATGCTGACTGATGAAATATGTTAGTGCAAACTTGCAGGCAAACATTGCATGTGGATGTGGTCAGAATTCAAAATAATCGATGTGTTAATCAGACAAAGTGCTGCATAAAAGGATCAACTTAATGCCCTGAAGAACAAAGGCAAGTCAATTGTCTTGCAGGCATCATGCATGCTCTGCACAAACTTCTGCTTTTTCAGGTCCTGACATCTCTCGGACAAAATGGTAATACTCCGAACTCTGTTTATTATGCCTCAACCATTAACTGAAATGAACCTATGACCTTTTACTTATTTTCAGCTCTTGGTAGTGAAATCATAAATGGTGAAAAGGTCCCGGACAACAAAATGCTGTTTATGGCCTCGGTTCAGAACAGCACAAACCAACATATCTGTGGAGGATTCCTCATCAATGAAGACTTTGTGGTCACTGCTGCACATTGTGATGATGGGTGAGTTACCTTTGCTCTTTCAATACTCAATTATTAATGTTATTGGACCAATCCAAAGAACCTTATTTTTGCAAAACATGCAGCAGCTATTAATAAACACTACTGATTGCCTCCTGATGATCATTTGTTTAGGATTACAAGTGTTGTTCTTGGTACCCACAATCTCAAGAAGATTGATGACATACATGAGATAATAATGAGATACAGTGTGAAGAGATGCAAGCATCCATCTTATGAGAACGTTGTTAGTGGGTCTGACATCATGCTCCTCAAAGTAAGTAGAGTTCCAGTAATTTGATGTTCTGTTAAATTCACTTTTAGTCTCAACAAAACCGTTAAAACAACAAAGCATTTACATCAATACAATGAGCAGCTTCATTTTCAAGCATCTATTTTCAAGCTAGTGTTTTTTTCACTAATTTTCTCTTGTGATTTTGTTTCTCCAGCTGTCCAAGAAAGCTCAACTGAACCAAAGATTGCAGCCAATTTCACTTCCAGAAACTGAGACTAAGATTACAAATATAGAAACGTGCAGTGTAGCTGGATGGGGCCTAACAAGTGTTGGTGAACCTGATGAGCTGCAAATGGTGAATGTGCCCATTGTTGACCTGGATGTCTGTAAGAGCAAATGGCCTAACATGCTTCCTGAAAACGTTATCTGTGCTGGTGGATATGGCACAGATAAAGGATTCTGTCAGGTATGCTTCCTTTCCTGTCATAGGGGTATGGTCTCATTATAAAAAGGTTATTAGAAAGAAAATGAACTAATATAGCTTCTTCCTCCTCACAGGGTGATTCTGGGGGTCCTCTGGTGTGCAACGGGAAGGCAGCTGGTGTTGTGTCTTACAACTGGAGCAAGAACTGCAGATACCCAAATAGGCCCAATGTGTACACAGATGTATCAAAATACCTTCCCTGGATCAGAAAGATGATGACGGATTGTTAAATGTAACAGATCAACATACTCTTATGTACTGGCTCCTTAAATGTAATCTCAAAACTTGAAAAATAAAAGCTTTGTTCATAACAAACATTGTTGCTTGGCAGTTCACCAATATATCAATATTATATCAACATGTACATCTACATATGTTGCATCTGTTGTTCACCTTTTTCAAACACAAAGGGTCATGTATTCTCCTTAAAGTAAAGCCAGTTTCTTATCACATGTAGCCAACCGTGTTGTATGTGTTAACGTCAATCACTTAAACCTTTTTGAATTTCGTTTGTAGAATTTTTATAAATATGGCGCAGCTTTTAGTCTTATAATTGGGTAATGTTGCACAAAGAAACTTCAAATCCACTTAAGCTGGTTTGTCATCCAAGATGAGTTAACATGTTCACACCTGACCCTATGAAACAGGTTGAAGTGTGTGTACCCCTCAACCAGTTGCAATGGTTTCAGATCTGATGCTCAAAGGACTTGATGTACTAAAAGTCTGCAAGTTTAAAAAAAATATTCGGGTTAGGGTTAAATGGTGGCAGATTTCATTTGTTATGATTTTATGATTTCTTCAAAACTGCTTTTATGAATTTGAAATGTGTCTACCTGCGGTGTTATTAAAAATATGCATTAATGAGTTTGTTTCCCTTGTGGCGTTATTGCTTGTCGCAGAGTTAATAATTAACAATTATGTTTTAACTTTGTACAATGCCACACTCTATTTTGGCTGTCGAACTAGTTTACTTTAATTATTGGACAGTAACATAATATTAACTACAGGGCACAGAGGGGGAGTACAGATAAATAAATACTTCAAACACACAAGAATGACCGATGACACACACATGTTTGCCTTGGACTCAGAAGCACTGCAGAGGATGGATATAACAAAAACTGATTGGAGTGGCGCCCACTAAAGGCCAAAAAGCAGAGAAACAGCTCTGTGGTCCGACACAGGCCTTCTCTACTGAGTATATACAGTAGAATGATGTTATAATGAGAGCAGCAGCTTGCAATATGTTTATCAAATATTACATGTGTTGGTAGTGTATCTGAATATGGAATTGTGGTGAGAGAAACAGTGAATGATGTAGTCAGATGTGTTTAATGAATAACGTAATAATCAGTCGAATCCTTTCAAAGTTCTTTCAAAACAAAACATGTGAGTTTATAATATATAATGTTACATGAGAAACAAGCTAATTAATGGCCTAACTGGATCTGTGTTTGTTCTCCCCTGCATCGAGGCCTACTAACTAAATCATTGCTGCATAACCGTGAGAACATAAATGTTCAAACCTGTATCTGGAAACTGGTTTCTGTGGTTTCTAAGTTTGTTGTCGATTTCAAAGAAAGGTTTCAGTGGCATGTGTCGAGAATGTCCACCTCAAACAATAACGGTGTTGGTGGTCTTTACTCGTTAGATCAATGCAACTAAAGCTCACTTACTGTTACCAAGTCTTATCCACAAAGAGGGGGACAAAAACAAAAACAAAGGCCTACCAGTACAGGAGAGCATGTCCAGGAAACCCGCAGTCGGAGGAGAATATTGGGAAGGCTCTAAAACCAGTACTAATATCATGTAGAAAGCCGACACTCATACTGCAAGACAGAAGCACACAGGAGCTAAAACTGAGAAAAAGCATGAAATACAAATAAAACATCTCCCCACTGTACCAAACCACCTGTAAGACTGTGACAGCCCAAATAGTCCTGTTAGTGGCAAACAGTGGGCCTAACCAACACTTTATATAAGAGGTCTGTCTTTACTCTAGCTTTAAAGAAAATGACATAAAGAAAAGTAAAACAACAATAACATGTCACAGGTAGGCAAGCAGGTAAAGATAACAAAAAACGGGAGCTTAAAAAAACAAAAACAAGAAAGAGTAAACTAAACTTAGAACAAACAGGGAGAACATCAACGGGGTAGAAGAGGATTAAAGTAGTGACGAGCACTGTGGCGAACCACACAAGGGTTGCGGTCGAATAGTCCATTTAGCTTAGGAAATGACCCGGAAGTCCCTCAGTGGCAGCCATGATAAGAGCCGTTCGAATTCTCTAGATGATAGGAAAGGAGGTTTCAAACTTCCTTTATAACCTCCTTTAGCCTAGGAACCACTGGACCTCCCTAACCGAAAGGAGAGGAGAAAATGCTGCCCCACAATGCCTTGCGGCCGCGGCATTTGCCGTCACACAACAGTCGGCCGTTCACGGAAACAACCGATTATGAACGAGAAATGATATCATGAAAGTTACGGTGCTTATTAAGCATTTTAAAACGTATGTGGTAAGTTGCCAAAGTGCTTTGTTTTGAACGTTCATTAGTATTATAATCAAAAAGAGAAATATGAATGTTAGTTTTTACTGAAATGATCAAATGAACATTTCACAGTGTTTACTAAGCTGTGTGGGGTTTGTTCAACTTGTAAAAGATGTTTGAATGGTGATATACACAGTGATAGATGTTAAGGACTAACGTTTATAATAAATACATTTGTATTGATTTTAAGATATTTTCATACAATCATACGTATTGGGATCATTTGTATTAATGTGGACCGGAGGGAGAGGGTGACGAGCATAAGTTTCACTTTCCTTTTTTATTTCAATTCCAACTTTGGTCATGAAGAATATGTTTCTCTGTTGTCCCCGTTCATAAAGCATAAAACAACAGCATCAGAGCACGGTGCAGAGTCTCTAGATGAGTTTACAGTAGTCCCTCGTTCTTATTATACATCCATGTTTACACGCCGTTTACACGAGGAGAAAACTGCTTGTATCTGCATAGTTTCGCGTGCGTATAGCCCTATTATTTACACGAGGCCGATAGAAACTGACCCCACAAACGATAACGGGTCCCAAGGTGGATAGATTTGCAAACGAAACGCTCTGGGGGGTCAACCGAGTCCGTGTAATCACCTCTATACAAATATTTCCTGAAAAAATAGCGATGGCCCCACCTCTCCCCACCTCTCCCCACCTCTCCTGCTCACTGCTGTAGCAACTATCAAAAATAGCTGTGTTAATTAAACGCACAAGGGGTTCTTGAATGAAATAATATTATAAAAGGCAAACCAGAATTGTTAACGCCCAATATACTCCTTAAACAAAATAAACAGAGTCAGATTTCATGCATTGATCCATTATATTGACAAAGGTGCGATCTCACCCGGTGTTTGTAGAGAATATCTCTCTTTCTGAGCCGTCCTCTCCACAGAGACGTGCTTCTTGGTCGGTCGATGCAATATCCACAGATTCGGTTTCTTTCAGTTAACTTCCCCGTTGCATTTATCCATATATTTACATGCTGAGGAAATGACTATATCCCGCTGAATACCAGCAATCGCCACACACACTTCCTCCTGTCAGTAGCTACTGCTAGTGCTACTGCTACTGACCATGCTACAGATATTAGGGCAAAATCTACAGCTCCTCTACCACAACCATCAGCAACAAGTGGACATGGAGAATTACATGAACTACATGTTGCTAAATACACCGTGGGGCGTAAACAGAAGGGTAGCCATGGCAACATTGCTGCGGGGCTGCTCGGGCTGCTCTTCTTCTTCGCTTTTGGTGTATTTTGGCGGAAGTTACAGCGCCACTTACAGTCCCGGCATATGTACTACAGCGTTTCCAGCGGCCTCGTTTGAACAGACACGTTAAATGAAACGAATGCATGTGAACGGAAGACTTCTTTGAATACGCATACTGTGCATAAACGCAAACGTTCCCGTGTGAGTGGGGCCGTAGTCCGCTGTATAGAAAACTGTAGTTTCCATAGTTTCCCCACAGCAGCAGACGCACATTTATGACGTCCGCTGGCGCAGTGAAAGTGCAGTCGGATTTTCTAAAGTACCGCAGTCTCTTCTCCTAAATCCTTTTGAATTCTCCTATCCACTATCCCTTAACCCCATGACGTTTCACTCAGAGGTCAAGGAATAGACGATAGGGTTAGAATTTAGGAGCTGATTTTTGGATTATTCGACCGCAACCAGGAAGTCAATCAATCAATCAATCAATCAAAACTTTATTACAGACTCAGAGTCCAGATAAAAGACAAGACATTACATATAATAAATGAATCAATGAAACAAGGTGAGTGATTTTTACAAATAAAACAGGAAACACAAACGCCAAGGTCATGAAATAACCCCAGGATAAAATACCTCCAAATCACAAACACAATAGCTTGGTATCACTAAGAAATAAGGAGAATTATAGGTGCCAAACAACATAATATTAAAAACGTATATATGCCGAGGGCAGTTGCCGGATATCTAGTTTGTAATGCGGCCTGGAAGGAAGTGTTTTTTATTCTTTAGAAAGACGACATTTACATACATTTTTATCTTTTAATTATTAGAATTTACTTTCTTACAAGACATGAAATCCTTAGTTATTAATGTCATTAAGTGATTGGGCCTTTTAACCCTTGTGTTAGCTGTTACTACCACTGGTGGTCCGTGAGCGCCCCCTAGTGGTCCGTGGGTATATTGGTAACATTTCACATTTTAAATAAATAGATTAATTTAAGTTTTCCGCACTCTTGGTGTATTTTTGGAAAGGGAAACTGTGCGCAAACAGCAGTAGATATATATTAATTAAAAAAAAATTAAAAAAGGGGGGGGAAAGGGCACTTTCTCTGGAGGAAGAAAAAGGGCAGGGGCTCAAGCCCACTTTGATGTCTATGTGTGCACGTGCCTGCCAAGGTGCATTGTGTGTGTGTGTGTGTGTGTGTGTGTGTGTGTGTGTGTGTGTGTGTGTGTGTGTGTGTGTGTGTGTGTGTGTGTGTGTGTGTGTGTGTGTGTGTGTGTGTGTGTGTGTGTGTGTGTGTGTGTGTTTTTTTTCCCTTTTATAAAACAGTAAGGTAACTTTGTCGAAGTCGGGATAACGGACTTCATATCATTTCAACAATAAAGAGAGCAAAAGCAACCGTTGACTTACCTCCAAGTGTTTTTTAAGATTAGACGTGGAGTCCTTTGATGCAGACATTGTATTGATGGTTGGAAAACACAAGGTACACTGGACCGTGATATTCATGGTCTTGTTTAAATTCGAAGTGGTGTCGATATCGCCACGATTTAA